CTGGTCCCCTTTTTCTCCACAGTATGGTTCACGGGGATGTCAAAAGTGAGGGGGACCTCGTCCATGTTGGTGATGTGGTCGGGCTGGATCTTTTTGTTGGTAATCTTGTCACAACATTTTTACAGATTTTGGAACTCAGTGCACACGCACCGGATTATTAGGCGCACGGCCGATTTTTGAGAAAATTTAAGGCTTTTAGGTGCGCCTTATAGTGCGGAAAATACGGTACATACCTTCAGCATTTTGAAAGTGATTTGACAGTAGTACAAGAGACTATTATTATGCAGAAGTATTGTTCAAAGAAAACTCTGATATTGTCAAATGCCCACACTCACACACAGACATAGACTTGTCCAGTTAGTTTTAAAAGCTGTTTCAGAGCGGTAAGACCAGTAATGTTAAGAGTGAATTTACTCATCCTTGCTTCTCTGTTGTCAGATCTCTGGAGCAGCTCCTGGTGTCTCTGCAGTGGGGTAGACAGCAGACGTACTACCCCAGTGCACAGCCTCTGAGCACAGGAGAGCTGGCAGCAGCCAATCACAAGCTTGCAGACTCCATCAACTCCCACCTGCTGGGCAACACCAGCAGCAGCAACATGGTGAAAAGCAGCAGTACAACAGCTGAACAGCTCTGCAGCACACCGGCTGAGAAAATGGCTGAGAAGGTACAGACTTATCTTAGTACAAATCTTTCCATTTTCTTTTATGTGTCAGAAACTTCACTTCAAGGTTCACAAATATGTTATCTGCTCTGTTCATAGGTGCTGAAGATTTTAGATCCAATTTCCTATTCAGAAAACAAGGCAGATCCTCCACTCAGTGACTCCACCCCCTCGAACTTTCTCGGCAATAAGAAGAGCATTGGCAGGTTTCATCCGTATACCCGCTATGAGAACATTACTTTTAACTGCTGTGAGCGCTGCACTGGAGACATCCTGGTTCTGTAGAGGTCAAAAAGCAGAAAAATGTCCCCATCTGATGCCAGTGCATCATTGGAGCTTATTTCAAGGGTCTGAACAGCAGCTCTGTGTTAAGCCACTTCTTTAGTCAACACTAAAAGATGGCTTCTTAACCAGACATTTTCTGTCTGCTACACACCTCAGGGAATAGCAGCCCTGGTTGTTGATTTCCAATTTCAGATAACTGTTTTAAGTTTGATCATCCTACTATTTATTTTGTTCTTTAACTTGGAAAAAAGTTAAATGAGAAACTGGAGTTGTTTGGTCAGGAATCATGATGTGATAGCAATCAAAACTGTGTAATTCAGAATCATTTCAGCGCGGTTTAAACCATGGGAAAATGCTGTTTTTGTGTTGGGATGTGAGGTCAAAAGGAGTCAGTATTACATAGTGAACAGACACAATTTAACATCTGCTTATTCGAACTTGAAGCTTGTTTTATTTACATATTTCTATATCCATGATTAAAGGCTGCACGTCTGTTGTGGAAATGCCTTCCAGGAAGTTAACAGATAGAGCTAATTGCACTGTGAGTGTACACTAACAAAATAGTGAGCCTTTTATACTGTAGGGGTCTCCCACTCTCCTCAGTGTGATGGTGCTATCTTATGCTGTAAAGCATTATAATATACATTCAGTATTTTGGAAGTGGATTTACAGTACAGAGTGTTATTGTGCAGTGCCCAGCCTCCATGCACATGTTTGGTGTTTTCTGTTATTTGCAAATAGTTTGAATTTTTTTTTCTAAACTTTTCCAAAGAGTTTAAATAGTTAGTTTTTCTTGAATCATGTCATATTCATTTGGGTGATGTTTTTTGTAGTTCATTATTTTAAAATGATTTAACTTTTTTTGGGCAACAGAGTACACTGCTATGAAATGACTAATAATACATTGCACATACTTTTTTGTAGTTTTCTAAAACCAAGCTGGACGATATTTTGTGTGTATGGAAAAGTGATGGTGAGTATAATTTACAATTGATGTAAACCATAAAAATATTTATTAATCATAAATCAAAGACCAAAGTAGTTTCTACCTTTTTTTTCTTACATCTTGTTCTTGTCCTGTTAGAAGTGTACAATAAAACTGAGCGCACCCCTGTGCATTATTAAAATGTTATTTAAAATTGTACTATTACAACGGTATTTGAAATGCAGTGTTTTTTTAATGTATTTTTTAAAAACAGGTTACATAGACTACATTGAAAATACAGGCCCTGAAGTACAACTGCAGTTGAACAAAACTGACTACACCAGAGGTGATTTCCCATTAAGGCTAAATACCACAGCTTTCTCATTTTGGCCTGAGTTAAGGCTAATATAATATTGTAAGAACTGTCTGAACAAGTTAGAAATCAGATTGTGAGACTCCATAAAGATGGTAGAGTGTAAAAGAGCATTACCAGACTACTGAACATGAGTTGAAATAGTTGTTGTAAAATATCAAAAATCATATGAGTTGTTAAAGAAACAAAAACTCAGAACTCTGATCAGACCATGTATGTCCCCTGACTTGGAACAGAGCAACCAAACCTGTCCAACATTGGGCAGTTGAAAACAATCATCTGTGACAGAACGTCTCTCGGATTGTGATCCATGTCCAGGAGGATTGAATCTGTCACTAAAATAAAGGCGAACATGCAAAACATTACAAAATTAAAATAATGTAATCTCGCTAATAGTAGGTGCACTGACTTGAAATACACGTGGACCTTTCTTTGTTGTTTAATTTGTCAGACATTTGTTTTTCAGATTAACTGGCTTCATTCTGCCTGGGCTTTGGCTAGAAATAAAAATTGTTGTAAATAGACATGATTTGTAATTATTTAGCATTTAGTCATAAAAGCAGCAAGAAAGAACCAGTAATTAACCATTACAACATTTTATTCACTTGATTTTACATTTCCTTAAATAGTGGTTGTAAACACATCCTTATTAATTGTACAATTTTTTGTCGACTACTCGTCATCCCACCACATCTTGCGTCTGCCTGCATTTTTTCTTGCCTCTATGTTGCTCTTAAGTGATGTCCGTACTCTGGTTGCAGGTGGTTTGTTTCCTCTGTCACCCGATTCAACATTTGTGAATGTCCTTTCACTAATTTTTTTCCCAGATCCTAACGCCCCATTACCATACTCTGTTGGTCTAAGATTTCCAAGTCCCCTGACTCTGTTATTGGCAATGTTTTTCTGTCTATGCTCTTGGTGGAAGCCACTGTGCTTCCTTGAAGGCACAAACTTCAATGCCTCCTCCCATTTCCCAGTGTCCTTGATAGTGAGCAGGATGCGAAGCATCTGGTCTAGAGTCAGATTTTTGGCTCCTATATCCCAGTGGAGGAAGTGATCCAGTGGTAAACGGGCTGTGGCCAACTTCAGACGCTTGGCACTGGCCAAAGACAAGCCGGACTTCGGTGACCGGTCCACTATAGCTCCAATGATGTAGACCTTGGAGTGGTCAAAGGTGCGAAGGACATTGGGGGAGTCTGCAGTGAGGTATATGAGCTGCTCGCGGGGGAACAGATCGACATGCTGCCGGTCAGTGCTGGTGATAAGCAGCCGGTCCCAGGTTTCTGCACCGTATCGTTTGAGCAGCTCCTGCATATAGACCCCATCTGGCTGCAGGTTGCAAAAGTATAGGTGGTAAGGTTCAGTGGCACGCCGATTCCACCCTTCCGCCTCCATCATCTGGGACACCGCACTGGACATCTCATGCCTGGACATGTGAGAGCCATAGCTCATGTCAAACACCAGTGGTTGACCGAACACCATGGCCTGGGCGCTCCTCCAGGCCAGCAGTTTGTCCAGGGAGCGGTTCCAAAACGTGGGGAGGAATGTCCTTTTCAGTTCCTGCTCTCTTTGATTATCTTCATTCTCTGCATCAGCTCTTTTCTGTTCCAAAGCAGCTTCTCTCTCTGCCTTCTTCTGCTGCTGCTTCTCTTTATTGGCCCTTTTGTGGTGCTCCTTGATGGCCAGGAACTTCAGGTATTTCTTCCTTGAGGTCTTGGTGGTGAGCCCTGCCAGCATCTGAAGCTGTTCATCGGTTATCTCTTGAGGTACAACCCTCCCTGCTAGCCTCCACATTTCAACCAGATTTCGACATGCCTCCAGTGAAGAACTGTCACCTCCCGCTTCTGTAAGGCTTTCATCATCATCTCTTGCTTCCTCTTCATCACCGTCTTTTTGTTTCTCCTCTATTCCAGCTTTTGATCTCATTACAGATTTCCACTTGTCCAAATCTACTGTCTCGGTTTCGTTTGGCTTATTACTTTTTGGTTCGAAGGCATCATTCCACACTGGGCTCCCGGTACTGAAGCGACGAGTCAGGATGGATGCTTGGTGATAACTGACGCTGCTGAATGGAAGAGATTCGATGACCTGCCTCCTGACAACAAACTGACTGCATTTGCAGAGTTCATAAAAGCCCCGGTTAGTAAAGAGCCGTAACATTGTGATAAACTATTTTAAACGGCAGCTGTTTCAAAAGTACTAAAACTGGAAAACATATCCCGGTCGCTTATAGTTGGACAAGATAACTTGAAGAACTTAAACGGAAAAAACACTGTATCTTGTCCTGAGTATTACCGAACTTGCGTTTACTTGTCACTAAGACCACGCTAGTCCAATAAAAAAAAGGGGCACGGTGTCACACTCTAATGTGTCGTACTGAAATGCCACTGCTTGTTAGATCTCAAATGTTTATCCAGCTGAGAATATCAGATGTTTAACCAAGAATATTTTAGTTTAATTTAGCTTTCATTTACTAGAAATCGTCGATACAAATTGTCATAGTATTTGTCTATAGTGACGTTAATTGATTTTCGTTTCTGGGCAAACATTTTAAAGTGTTGTACCTCAAAAATGACGTAATTTCCTCCAGGTGGTAAATAAAGGGAAGCTAATCTTTTTGCTGTGAAAATGAGTTTATTTTTGCCCAGATTAACTTGCAAAAAAGACATAGATGAAATTATAAAAGGGGTAGCAGAAAAGGTCGTAGTTCTGAGATTTGGAAGAGACGAAGACCCAGTATGCCTCCAGCTTGATGATATTGTAAGCAGATCCAGCAATGCGAGCAAACAAATAGCTACTCATCGTTAGTGCTTTTCTTTTGCTAATTTGTCATGTCTGCCTTCTTTCAGTTGTCAAAAACTGCTCACGACCTAAGTAACATGGCTTCCATCTACATTGTCGATGCCGATAAAGCTCCTATCTACACAAGATACTTTGACATCAGTTACATCCCCTCCACTGTTTTCTTTTTCAACGGACAGCACATGAAAGTGGATTATGGGTGAGTGAATAGATTTGGCTCTGTTCTTCTTTTGTGGTATTGCATTTTAAGCAAGATATATAAACAAACCAAAGGACAGAAGTCAATGTGTAACAGCACACTGGCATATCAGCCATTAAACAATATTACTACCACAAGCATGAAAAATAAATAGCGAAAAGAAAGACCAACTACGAAAACAAAAGTTCAAAAAGAAAAAAGAAAAGGCAAGGAGCACAAAAAGAGCAACAAGGCTGGGTATAGTAAAAGCAATAATTGGGATATAGAAATATACATTTTTTAGCCTTTCTATTTATCCCTTCTAGACATTTCATTGACATATATTAGTTAGCACATTTATTAATAAATACAGTGAAGGAGGGAGTATTACCATTCCACTTACAAGTACAGTATGTATATATTTACCCAAAAGTAACACCAGATTAATAGTGTCAGAACTAGTTTTATTCAAGTTATCTATAAAATAAATGTCATTATACTTAAAGAAATATTTTTCAATTTTTAATGACAGCCAGTAGTGGATATCAAACCCAAAAAAGGAGTGAGGTCATTCAATGAACAGGTAGTTGATAGTTTCTCCTTCAGAAGAGCAAAATATACAAGAATCAACTTCAAATTTAAATCGCTGCTATTATTTTATAATGAGTTTACTTTAGGAGTAACGGGACAAATTAGATAAGAGGAAAAAGATTTTATCCTTAAAGGGGCTTTAATACTGATTTGTATAGAGCAGGAGTTAAAATCCCCCAAATTTTTGTGCATGTAAATCAAGCAGACTATTCTGCTTTTACATTTTTTTATCCAGCAAATTGATATCACCAACTTTTAGAGAATGCAGACGAGGTTGACTCAAGGAAAAAAAGCATACTATTTTGTAACAGATTAAATAAAGCAGTTGGAATTTCTTGACAGATTTTGTAAAAACCTTTCTAGGAGTACTAATATTAAACTTGATAGTGAATTCTTCGAAGGATAAAAATTGGCCATCTGAGTTCAATAAGTCAGTGACAAAAGTTGGTCCACTGTGTTACCAATCAGCCTTAACAAGGGACTTCTTTTTATGGTGATGACCCTGTTATTCCATAATAAAGAATTGTGTGGAGAAATGTTGTGGGTAAATATCATTTTACTAAAATGTAATGCTTGTTTCTGGAATTCAGACAGTTTAACAGGAGTTTTTGATAACTCAGTCACATCTAAGCAAAAGGTTAAGCCTTCCAACATTATTCAATATTTTAGGAAAATGGTACCATATGGACAGAGGACGAGAAATAAATTCTTTTATCCATTTGATTTTGAGAGCCTCGATAACTGATTCAAGCATCATGGCTCTTAAACCCCAATTCTCGTAATCTCTGACTAATTATGATTTCTGCATGTAGTGTGTTTTGTTCTTCCATATGAAATTAAATATTATGGAGTCAGATGACTTAATTACATTTGATGAGATAAAGAGTGGCATGGATAAATGAATCTTGATAAACCATCTGTTTTGGATAGAATTTGACCAAAGGACAGGTCAAGCATGAGCCAGTGGTTCAGTGATTTTTGAGTTGCTTTCAACCTGGAAAGGTTTTCCTTATCTTGCCGATTTTTGGTTGTAACTAGACCAAGGTATTTCACCTTGGTTTTGACTGGGATATTAGCTATGGAATGTAGATCAGTTCTGTGAGTAGCCAGGAGCTCGCATTTTCTTTAGATTTAAAGTTAGCCCAGATGCTTTGGAGAAAAGCACCATATTGATTGCTTTTGAAACCATATATTTGTTTTACCCTGAATGTCAATACCCTGGAGGTCAGTGGAGTTTTTAAAGTAAATTGCCATCAATTCTGCAGCTAAAATAAATGAAAGAGGGCAGATCAAGCATCCCTGACACATACCCCGTTTAACTGAGAACCTTGGTGAAAACCCACAGCTGAGAGATGATGACCATTCAAGGAAATCCTTAAACCATAACATAAAAAAATTATATTGTTAGGAAAAAAAGGTCTCATGAATGAGAGTTTGCGACATCTGTATAAACTGAGTTGCTTCTCATTATTTGAGCTTTAGGTCATGTCTAAGATGATAATTCACTGTTGTGACATTGTAGATAAGTCAGAAAACAAGAAATAGCATGCCATGGGCTATTTAAGGATATGTACCAACAAATACACAAAATATATGTAAGTCACCACAGACACTGTAATAAAGAAAAGTCAGATTGATTTTATTTTGGCTGATAGCCTAGTGGTTATTATTGTCATTGTTAACTATTACTCTTTCTTTCAGCTCCCCAGATCATACCAAGTTTGTTGGCAGTTTCAAGACCAAGCAAGATTTCATGGATCTGATTGAGGTCATATATCGAGGAGCCATGCGGGGGAAGTTGATTGTCCAGAGCCCCATAGATCCCCAACATATCCCCAAATATGATCTCCTCTATCATGGAATTTAGACTCAACACCTCCACTATGCAGACATTCTGTGTGATTATAGTGATTTCTGACTGAGTGGCATCAGTCACTACTGATTAATTAACTGACAAAAATGGCTTTAACTTTCAGGCACAAGGCAACAGTCTGAAGACGTTTTAAGATAAAGTGTCTCACATTAAATAGCTTGATTTAAAAAGTTCATTTTGCACTGGAAGGCACATTATAAACAGTGCATTGCTCTTTATTTCTTCTCCTTTCGTAATGTTTAAAGGTTCCCGAGGACTTTTTGGCCACTATTATTACAATGGAGCGATGCTTTTCTGTGTGAGTCCTGCCTGTTTTGTTAGCTCTTGTGCATGTGCACAAGAGCCCATGCATGTGTGTCACAATAAACACTCCAGCCAGTGGTTTCACACTATTGATCAACAGGTGATATGTCACGAAATGCATGTGAGGGCACTGTGAGACAGTGAAAGGCTGTAAACTACTAAAGATGGATGTAAACAGTAAATGTTTTAAATTTACAAAAAAAAAAAAAAAAAACTTTTTGCAAATGTTTTACACGGAAGGACAAAAAGGAGCATGTTACACACAATTTCTCTTGGTGAACCTTTGTTTACAAAAATCACCATTAAAGAACGTGTATACAAGAACGCTGTTTCCAAACTAGCTGTTCAGAACTACAGCTAGTATCAGGGGTCTGATAGGTTTGAATTTTTTTTTAATAAAACTTAAGACAGTCTTTGTTAGGATATGGAAAATACACACAGTGTAATGGGATTTCTTAAATTTTCTTAACAGCAGGGCATTTTTATTTTTACAGTTGTCTCCATTCATGTTTAATGGACAGGTTGTAACTCTTGATAAATTGGCTTATCTAAGTGTATTATTTTATTTCTTCATTGTGAAAATGTGCTATTTTGATATCCCCATTGGAAAACTTCTGTTTACTGGCCTATACAGTTAATCCAGTGTATATACTCAGCTCCTACAGTATATTAAACTTTACTACTTAAACTGTGGATGAAACTATGGCTTTGTTTTGGGCTCCCCAGCCTCTGAGGACAGTTGGCCATTTTACCTGGTTGGTAATCCAACCCATTTGGTCTGACACTCCGATTATTTAGTAAAAAAAGAACAGGCTTCTGTACGCCTCTAGCGTTCTATTACTTTTATTGTGAAAAACACTACAGGAAGTGTCTCTTATTCTGGCGGAACACTGAAGGAAGCAACACAACAACAATGGCGGCGACCTTGTGCAGAGCATGGTGTTTATAACGATATAATTAGTTAACCACCTCAAATGTTATTATATTGACTGCATGAAGTGACAATTTGGTGTTTATAGTGCCCCGTTTCAAGGTTAACATCATGATCTCCTTCATCAAGGCTGCTGTCGGCGGACTGACTGGTACCTGTAGAACCCACGGTCTCTTACGAGGTAAAAGTTAGCTAGCTAACGCTAACCCTTAGTCAAGTCAAAAATCTTTATTGTCATTATGCATAGCACAACGAATTTTTTTCCGGCAGCTCTCGGCTTAAAAGACAGACACATTATTTATATAACACACAATTGTATAAGTCAATATAAAAATATGAACAAATAAAAAGGTATGTATGGGACCTAATCAGGTCAGCATCATGTTAGCAGGTACAGAGTGTAGTAACATTATAAGGTGCAGCTCAGTGCAAATCTCGGTCTTTAGAAAGAGGTGTGAGCATGGGTGTGTGTCTGCAGAGGTCCAGTCACAGCCCTGGCGAAGAAGCTGTGTCTCAGTCTGTTTGTTTTAGTCTTTATATTCCTGCACCTTTTCCTGGAGGGAAGAGGCAAAAACAGACTGTTGCCTGGGTGGGTGGGGTCTGCAGCAATCCGTCTGGCCCTCCTCTGTATCCGGTTAGTGTATAGTGAGTCCAGATCCAGAAGAGGATTCCCTACAATGCCCTGAGCTGTTCTCACCACCTGGGTCACGTCCTTTCTGTCCTGTGCAGTGCAGCTCCCATACCACACTCTCACACTGAGACACAGGATGCTCTCTACTGTCGCTTTGTAGAAGTTTGCAAGCAACTGAGAGGAGAGACCAGAGTGTTTCAGCTTCCTGAGGAAGAAAAGCCTTTGCTGGGCTTTCTTCACCACTTAGGATCTGTTCAGAGACCAGGTCAGGTCAGTCGTGATGTGGATGCCCAGGAACTTGATGTTATCCACTTGCTCCACCACCTCCCTGTGTATGAGAAGAGGAGCATGTTTTGTCTTCCTGGACCTCCTATAATCCACAATGACTTCCTTAGTCTTGTTGGTGTTCAGGACAAGATTGTTATCTGAACACAACCTTGTCAGGTGCTGGATCTCCTCCCTGTAGTGAGTTTCATTGTCTGAGATGAGACCCACTATGGTGGTGTCGTCTGCGTTAGCCCCTTTTGAGAATGTCTGCTGCTAGTAAGATGTGACTTTATCATTATTTAACAGCCACATGGCACAATAATAAACATTGCTGTCAGGCACCAGAATTAATGCTAGCTAAAATGATATTTTAACTTGTAGTCCCAGGACAGATCTTAGCCACCCTTAAAAAAAACAAAAAAACAAACAAAACATACAGTTAAATCAATAATTGAAGTAGAATGCAAGTGTGTTGAACAATAATATAAAGAAAATTAAGATAATATGTACTAAACTGTCAAGTACCAACGTATAATATACAGCCTAATATATAAACCTGTAGGTTTCCAGCCAATCCATTCACACCACATTACATCCCATCAGGTAAAACAGCTAGTCCCTCTACACCAATATTCACAAACATGCGTAACTTAACGTCAGGCCCAATATTTTTGTCTGCATCCTGTGGTCACAATCCAGGCATCAGTAGGTAAAATATATCCACAAAATCACGCGCAGCCGAAAAATCTCCATTGGGTATCAGATCATAAGATTGGAGGCTTGAATAATTACATCCACTTTATTGGCTGTATATGTTGGTAGATGTGTGTAAGGCAGACAAATTATATCACCATGTCACAGAGATACATAATCCATCAGTGAACATAAACTGCTTACAAAAGGTTGGAAATACACACCAACACTTGGTTTGTCTCTAATGCAGCCACACTCTAACCATCAGCCTCACCTCCTTCCATTGACGACAAATGGAATTGATTTTTGCATTTTTGTTTTATTCTGTCGATTATCAAAGTCCCTTTCAACTTGAAGCCTTTCTAACAATATGGCACTGGTGGATGTCAAGCAAGCTCGCATGAACGCACACAGCCAGGAGAAGAGGACTATTCAAGGAAATCTGTGAACTACTGACTTTACTAGGACTTTACATAGATGGAAAAAAAGTCTTGCCTGCTTTTCAGTTATATTTCAGATGATGTAACATTGTTGTAACATTCTAGATAAGTCAGAAAACACAAAAAGAGCATGCCATGTGCACTTTAAGTCGACAAACACACACGGGTGTTGTTTTGGAGTTACAGAAGATCCGTGAATAAGAAATAAAATCGCTGCATTCCGTCTCTGCTTTTCGACTTGAAGAGAAATTCACACGTTTAAACTGAGCAGTACTATATTAGCAGTAACATATGACAGTTCAATATTAAATTGAATTGTGCCAGACATCATTCTAATAAATATCTACTGCTGTTTGTTCCATAGGTCCTTTGCACAGCCACTTGAAAGTCCTAGCTGCTGGCTTGAAAACCTTTGAAATTCCTCCAGACTACAGTGGTAATTATTCATATTCTTCTTTTTATTTGTCATAATTTCTTTAGTCAATATACACTTTTTTTTGATTATTTAATTTAAAACATAACTACTCCGCTATACTGTACATATACATATTGTTTAGACACTGCATGTGCATGTGTACGGCAGAGTGTGGTAAAAAATACATCAGGTTCCCTAGGCCTCTGCGTTTGGGCCAGTCTTTAGATTTTTTAAAATCTTTGTTCAAGTTGACATGTTTGCCAGAATTTTTTAATTTTGTTTTTTTGCCTTTGAAGATGTGGTACTACCAGAGAAACCCAAACTGAAAGTTGTAAACAAGGTGCCTAACTTAAAACAACCTAAGAAAGAGATGAGGAAGCTGCGGGATATCCAAGGCCCGGCCAAAACTGGAAATACCTTCACTACAGGACAGTATGCTATTGTGGTGAGTTTATTTTTTTCTAATTGCTGCTGTTTAGTGACACCTGACAGCTGCATAGGATTATATTACCTGTAGTAAAAACTTGTCTTTAACATTAAACATTCTCTGTGTATTCTTATAGAGATTATCAGAACTTTTCACACACATATTCTAACTCTACAGTATATTTATAAGTCAGAGCATGACATTTTCCTCTTTCTCTGCCTCTTTTTGATGCTCAGGCCATGGGAGGGGGCTACCTTCATTGGGGTCACTTTGAGATGATGCGTCTAACTATTAACCGCAAGATGGATTCTCATACTACATTTGCTGTGTGGCGTGTCAGAGAACCATATAAGCCCATCACACGTAAAAGTCTGGGCCAACGCATGGGTGGGGGCAAGGGAGCCATTGACCATTATGTGACACCTGTCCGCTGTGGTCGTTTAATCGTGGAGGTGGGAGGAAAGGTGGAGCTGGCAGAGGTTGAGCACATCTTGATTGAAGTGGCAAAGAAACTACCCTTCCCTGCCAAGGTGAGATGCCAGATACAGTATATGTATACTTTGCTGTGTTATTAAATGTATTATACTCTGAAAGAGTTTCACTTAAAGGATAAGTTCAGACATTTTTCATATTAGTAGTATTTTCAACAGTCCCCATACAGAGACTAAAACCAACAATGATTCGCCTCAACTCACTGTTAATGTCTGTCAGTCTCCAACCTGGATTAGTTTATTAGTCTGTGCCACAGACCTCTGTTCAAAAAATGATTCAAAACACATCGCAGAAACACATTTCTGCAATGCACTATCTTTAATGTCATTTGAGTGCCGAGGTCTAAAAGCGATGACTACATAATGGCATAAGATTATTAAATCATTTACACCTATTTTGGACTTTAACACCTTTCTAAAACTGCAATGTTTTGTCTTTCATTATGGTAGAATTTATTGTATGGCTGTTGTATTAAATGACATTAGCAAGGTGTGTTCAGTAATCTGAATGTGAATCAGTTTACGTTAAAGGACAGATGACTTATCCAGAAAGCAAACAAGCTGTTGTCAGTGTATGCTACACTGAATTTTGCCCTTCTTTAGCACTTAACAGCAGTTTTAACTCTATACACGCTAATAACAATAACCTAGCACACTGTACTTATAGGTTTGGCTCATTTTGCTATGCACACAACCATTTTTGCAATTTACAATGTTAAACGTACCATTCTGTTGATTACTTTATTTAATTGAAAGTACTTGTACTTCTTGCAGCATTCCCCCTTCTGTACCTATGTGTTACAATATTTTATTATTATTTATTTATTTTAGGTAATGAGCAGAGAGAGTCTAGCAACTATGTATGAGAAGCAGGCTGAGATGGAGCAGAACAACCAGAATCCTTGGACCTTTAAGCGGATAGCACAAGGCAACATGCTTGGTATCAGGAAAGTGCTCAGCCCCTTTGACCTGTGCAACCATGGACGCTTCACGGGCAAATTTTATCTCCCTGAGAGGGTTTGACAGGCTGAAGGGACAGAAAAAAAGTCTTACTGTGACAACAAAAATTTTGATTTTTTTTTTATAAATGTGAATATATTAGTAAATTTGACATTTTGTTGAGGGGACCCCCCGATTATATTTTTTAATTTCTCATGTTGACTCAAGTGTTATGACAGAACAGAATTTGAGGGTCTGTCTAATTTGCTGTAAAAAAAGTAAAAGACAAAGGAAAACAAAGCTCTACAGATTTAACCAAATTAGGAACAAAAAACAAAATGGTTGAAAGTATTTACCCTCTTTATTGTAAGGTCCATAATAGATTGAATGTATCTTAAATACATCTATTGTAAGTTGTAACAAGTGATTATAGTTCTAAAGTATCTGTAATCAAGGATGTCCAAGAGTTGTTTTGTCATTTCCCTTGTAAAAATGTATAAAATATAAATGTATAATAAAAATGTAAAAGAACAAATAAAATGAATTCACAGATGTAAATCTGCTTAGCGCAGGCTTTCAGTAACAATCACAACCAATCAACTGAGGAAATTAAAAGAATTCCATGGTTTAGATTAGAGATGCTGAGCATATACAATTAATACACAATGTTGTATTCAGAGATTGTGTGGGGAAAACACTTTCTTAATTAATTTGTACATTTTAGGAAGTCCCTAATGTGTTCAACAGCAATTATGTCATTGTCACTTTCACCAATTGTCAATCACCAGAGAAACTCTTCTATTATAATGTTTCCATAGTTCAGACCTATAGATCTAAGACGTGCACAACACAGACGTAAAGAACCGCTTTTTCCAAAATGGCCTCAGTCCAGGAGTTGTGACTCTTAGACCCTGCGTTATACCTCAAAGGTACAGTTTTTGCCCTGTGTCATCAGCCTGTGGTCATCAGGCTATCAAGATATTTGTTTTTCATTTCAAGGAATGTAGTTTCGCCGATACGCGAAAAACTTCATTAGTGTTATGAACACGCGGCTTGTCTATATGGCATTGGGAAGTGTAATGTTTAGCCTGAGAGGAATATCTGCCTGACAAGCATAACTCCGGGTAAATCTTTTGGTGATTCAACGCATGCGCGGTATGTGTTGGAAGCATTCGAAAACAGCAGCGCGAAAAAGTAGCACCGCTATTTAGCTACATCACTGTGTCTAGTTCAGTTTCCTCTCCAATAAGATATGTGCACCATTTGCCTTAACGTTGTGTTACCTGTGGTACGTCTAATTTTTACTCAAATACAATTCATATAGCGCTATATTGTTGCTTAACTATTATTGTCTTATTTAGCTGCTACTACGTTAGCTTAGCCAGACACTATTAAGTTTGTGTTTCACATTAACGCTACAACTGTAGCAGATATGAAACCCGTACGAGGTTCTCACCGGGCGGCATCAAAAGAACCTAACTTGAAAAACAATAAAAAGACATATGGACGAAAGGACGAAACAAAAAAGGGGACGAAACGACAAGCAGCGGAGTTTCAGGTAACATAGGTAACGTTAAATACTCTGCAACTGATATTGACAAACGATTAATGATGTTTTTACTTTAGGAAAAGAAGCTCAGTGGCAATAACAATGGCAAGAACGCCCACCTGAGAGCAGAACAGAAGAGAAAAGGTTAGAATAGCCCGTTTTAGCATGGTGTCCTACTTGATACTGCTTCAGCATACTGTAAGATCTGGACCACAAAGCAAAATACCTGCAAGCTGTTAACGTTCTGTGTTGCTCCTGTTTGTGTCCTGAAAGATGAAGGCCTGTCTTCCGTCCGCAACAAAGTCAAAGGTCAGGAAAAATGGGCACTGATACAGAAGTCCTCTGTCACTGCTCTGGAGGACATGATCGACTTTGCACTACTGTGAGTTTTACTGTAGTAATTTACACCTGTGCATTTTCCTCTTTCCTTTCCTTAGATTTTGTGTTATTTATCTACTTTATATTTCATTTGTGTTTTGTGGCATTCATGTGGACAGCAAAGTAAGAATTTCATTGTACAGGGAAACACGTTTCCTAACTGTGTATATGACAAAATAAACACTTTGAACTTGAACTTCCTCTGCTGTAAGGTAGTGATGGTGAAGCAGCAAAGCCTAAACAGCCTAATTTACTGACAAAAGATATGTTACTAGCCTCATTTAGTACAAGTGTTCACTAGTGAGATCCTTGACAGCACAGACACAGTATGCTGCAGTGTTTTCTCCTACTGCTGCATCTACAGGATTAAAGAGTGATGTAAAAGTCCTAAATTGACAATAAAAAGACTCCATAGATGGCTGCAAAAAAGACTGACAATAAAAAGACTCCATAGATGGCTGCACAAAAGATTTTGCAAGCTGTAACATCTGCCAAAGGGGTAATACTGAATTAGTAGGGTGCCCACACTTCTTCCCATACCACAATTGCTGTTATTTTTTTTCTCCTTTCTACCAAGTGCTATGTGATTACACGGAAATCCTGAATGCAGATGTTATGCAGTCAGTCAAGAAACTGAAGCTCAAAAGCAATTGCTTAACAATAGTATAATGAACACTTCAGTTACAGCCAGTGAGTAATAGTCAAAATCAACTTTGTAAGGGCACATTCTGTGTTCACAGAGCAACTCTTGCATGCAGAAGGGCTGACAAGAAGGAGAGCCAGGAACATCTGAACATTCTGAAAAACAGGTGAGCACAAATTAAAATGTAAATAAATGGCACGAACCTACTCTCTAATGGTTATACATTGGGTTTATTAAACTATCCAGTTATATGTTTAACTGATAAGAGCAAGTTGCTTATGTTGCACAGCCCAGCATGTTGTGTTTTTGTTTTCTGCAATTATCATCCAGTCATTGTCACACAGAAGGGGTTGTAGAAAGACTACCTTTAGATATTAAAGTAAGGAAAGTGTGTGATATTTATCTATCTACAAGGTGAATTTTATTGAATGTAATCATAAAAACTGTGCAAATAAACTAAATAACGATTCACTCAGGAACAAAAAACATCTTAAAAGTTACCAAGATAAAATCAAAATATATAATGAGAAAATATGTAAATATCTGATGTAATTAAATAAAGAAATTTCTACAAAATATATAGATTTTTATTTTACTTAAGAACTGGGCTTTATCTGTCTGTGCTGCTGGAGTTGTGTATACATAGGTATGGTGATGTGAACAACATTAGAGGTTAGTGATGAGCTTGTAACAGGTTTATTTACTGTTTAACATGTGCCACTAAAATAATGTTAAGCTGCAAACACTAGATTTTGGTGATCTAAGGTCAGTGACTTCACTTCTGTCCCATACCTGTGATTTTTGACTGATTAGTGGAGGCACTCAACCATGAAGTGGAAATTCAAGGTTACAGTAATGACATGAAATTACTGTCACAAATGTCAATTTAGTGTTCACTATTGAGTAAACAAATTGGTGTCTATTAGACAGGGAGTAGTGAATGAAGGAGTGATTTTGGAAACAGTATATAAAACATGCCAACTCGCATAAACAAGTTGTACTTTAGCACAGTGAACAAAGTTTTTATATTTAATTATGGTTTGCTTTTTTAGGCTTGTTGGTCACTGTGCGCAGCTCAAAGTTCCAGTGAAGAAACAGAAACGTTTGGGGTATTCAACCCTACTCTACCAGGAAGAGAGCAAGAAGGCAGTGGTTGGAAAGAAGACTTTGAGCACCCTCGAGGTGAGAAACATTTATGCTGTGTTTTTACTATCAGAACCTAGCAAGGAGTATACCCTGTACTTCCCTTAACCATCATCAAGCATCACCTCCAGAAAATAAATTATGAAAAATGTTGCATGTGCATTTTTCCATTATAGGAGCCTCCTGAAACATGATTGGTCAACACAGCCCCTTTGCCAGATGATGTCACTGTCTGGTGCAGTAATAACTGAACCAGATCTAACTTTTTTGCTAACTAAAAAACAATGGAAACTCTCTGGTTAGAAACGTGAATGAAGCCACTCAACACCAACGTGTGCGTGTTGTACACGTTTACAACACTCCCCCTGTAACCCCTCACCCTCCCAGCCAATGCAGCCCCTTGCATCAAAGCACAGCAGGGAGTTGCGTTTTTACTGGATCAGTCTGAATGCCCGCTTACTAGGTGTGACACACTTCAGTAGGTTCCTATAATGGAAAAACCTCTTTATAGTCTGAGAAGGGGAATAGAGTGACACACCTAGACGCTGATATTCGAAAAACTTAATATATTGGATTAAATTGACAAATCAATTAGCCTTTGATTAAAAAATGCACATGCAACATTTTTCATAATTTATTTTCTTTTCACAAAAGAAGCCAATTATTTCTTGGTTTGGCTTCTCATATGTGAGGATTTACAGCTCTTCTCTGCTTGTTTTAAGCAGTATACCTAATACCTTTTAGTTTTACAAAACAAGCAATTTGTTATCCATTTTTTCCCTGGTGTCTGGGACCTTGCAATGGGCAGTTTTGACTACATTGTTTATTTATATATACAAAAAATGTTTCTATGCAGAATGATTACCTGGTTATGCAAAAGAATAATCAACCAATTCATGAAAAGAAAATTATCATTTGCTGCAGCCCAAAATGCAATAAACAGCATGGTAACCCAATAATTAAATAGTCTGTGTTTTTTATTAAAGAGTGTATCTGCTTTTCTAGCTGCAAGGTAGTACATTTACCTTGAAGAAGGGGTGGGGGAGTATGTTTAAGTCAGTGTATTTAATTGTCTGTAATATACTCTGTATAAAGAAATATCATGAATAGTTGTGTTACACAATGTCTTGTTGTGCTGTCTGGGTTTCCAGAAAGACTTCAGTGCTGTGGTTAGTGCTCTGGAAAGTGCAGAGCGGCAAACTGTCTCTTTACAGTTCACATGCAGTACACTGAGAGACAAGGTGACAGAAGAGGAAGATAAGGCTAAAGAGGTGTGAAGCACTCAAACAAGCATGCAAACATTAAAAAAAGGTTGACCTCATTCTGATAGTGAGCATATTGAACACATCATAGCTCAGCTAATTACCGCAGAGCAAAACATAATGTGAGCTAATGCATGCCTGCGGTTTATGTTGCCAAATTTGTTAGCAGTGAAGCTAGCTAATGCCGTGGTGTGTGCCATGGAAGACAGCTAATGAGCCATTAATGTATAGAATTAGACTCACTTTATATGAATGATGTAATGCTAAATTGACCTGTGACTCGCATTTCAGTACAGTTACAGTTGGTGTAATGGGAACACATCTGAATTTCAGTGAAGTTATACCTTTAGTTTGTTAATGTAAAATTGGACTTATAGAGTCCTCTTCTTCATTTGTTCACCCAGATCTTACAGATAACCGAACAAGCTGTGCTCAGTCTCTCCCCACTTGTGCCACAAAAAGATGAAACAACGTTAGACGTGAGTACAAGAAAAACACTTTCACAATGCCAAGTATCTTATATTGGTCAATCACTTTTTTTGTCAACAGGTTGTGGTGAAAATGTCTGAGTGGACATTTCCTGTAGTGTTACTGGAATGCCTAAAGATGTTCCTTGTGCAATTTCTTTGTAATATTGTGGGGAAAAATATGAAATGTGTCTTACAAAAAGCTACAGGACAAAGCTTTGTTTTTGTTTCAGAAACTCCAATCTCCAAAAATGATGCCTTAATGCTGCACATTTCTTAAAACACAAAAACAAAAATGGCATTGCTAATTTTTTTGTTTTGATTTTTCTTCAGGCTCGGCTGATAAAAATTATACCAGAAAGTGACTCTGAGACCGCGGCCCGGAAACTGGGAGAAATCCTACAGAAATCCAAGGCTGTGCAGGATGCCCAGGCGCTGCTTCTAGAGGCACACAAACATGCTGATCAGCTGTTCAACCCTGATTTTATCCTAGTCATGGGTGCACCTGGTTCAGAGGAAAACTAGTAAAATCTCTCCTTATACAGGTTGGACTTTTTTTTTTTTATATATATCAAATTTATAGGTATAAGATGTTTGCAGGCATGACACATAGTTAGACAGACTGGTTTGGAAATCTTAGTTGTAATGTTACTCAGTTTGACTTTTTGTGGTTGTGGAGCACCGGCAATAATCAAATGCAGCCACTATGTGTGAGAAAGAGTTATAGAACTGGTATAAACAGTAGTATTTAAAAACATAAATTATAAGAAAAGAAAAAGCAAAAAAAAAAAATCATATGTAGGTTTAAAAAGTCACTTTTATATGAATAGATTAAAATAACTTCACAGAATGAATGAGTACATTTGTTTTTGGTGTATACAGTTGGCATGCAGTTGTACAGTGTGATTATTAATGTGGCCGGGCAGTGCACTACCACATTGTTCTTTATTAATGCCCAGTATTCATGTCTTGTATCCTTCTCTAGGAATAAAGCTGCTTTTGCTTTCTGGGTTTAATAAGTGCACATCAAGCATTTAAGAGTTTGTCAAAAATTTCCTTTGACCAACTGCACTGTATTTATGCTCTGACTCAGGATCTTGGAGCTTTAATCCAGTTAGGATATCATTATATCCCACAGGCCGGCTTTTGTCGTTTCCCATAGATTTGATGGATGAGTTTCACCATTGCCATTTACAGTTTGTGTTTATAGGAATAGTCATTTTTATTGTAATCTGAGTATGAACTGATATATAGATGTTACTAATACTGCTACTTGTTACAGGCTCTGTACATGTTTTGAGTACAAAAAACAAAGTGTTCCTAGAATATTTTGTGTGGATTAGAAAAGAACATGCAAATGGACAAGATGATTCATGAATTAATTTTTAAGCCAGCTATGGTATGACCCTGCCTTCGGCATGCCACAACAGAAGCAGCATTTCTAAAGTCTTTAGTCATCTAGGTTTACTGATGACACATACAGCATGACCATACCACAGATTAAATAGTAATGAAATCCACCAGTTTCACCTCTTTTTGTTCTTGATGTGTCATTCAGATCCATTTGTAAAACAATGGCCTTAAGCACATGCTACAAATTTAGTAACCCAACCTCTTTGTTATATTTACATAGCTCATTTCTAGGAGTTTGAGCAAATAGAGGGATAAACCAGTGAAAAGTATTCTCTAAGATGTTTCTGAAAAACTGCACAAAAACTGCTTAAAATTTAAAAACATTGTTGACCTCCTGACTACATTTGAGAGTTCTTAAGTGACTTTCGTCGTATGGAGTCTGTGGAGTCGTCATTGAAAAGTCGCTCAATGGTGGAGACAAGTGAGGCTCTGATAGCACGGCTTAGGCCTCGAGCAACAAGCACATACAGCACGGGGTTAAGAGCACTCTTGATGTACACCAGGAAAAGAGAGATGTATATGCCAAGTACCGCCCTTCCAAACAGTGTAGCCCGTTCAGGTTCCCCCACAGACAAGGCCCGTAGGAACCGAAAAACAAAATAGGGCACCCAGCATGTCAGAAAGAGGAGCATGGTGAAAAAGAGCACGTGGTACATCCTGGTCATCCTGCGGGCAGTTGACGGGTTGGAGGAGGTGGGCGTGGAGGGCAGTGCTTGATGAATGGTGAGCAGAACAGCCAAGTTACTTCCTAAAAACACCAGTAGGGGCAAGATGAAGCCTGCTATTGTTTCTGTAACAAACAGTCCAGTGTTAAAGTTCCCACTTTCCAGACACTGGTATGTCCCGTTCTCTTCTACCAGAACAGCGTAGTGGAGGTAGGGGGTAGACAGGATGGTGGCTACAAACCACAAGATGCCACAGACCAGTGGAACAGCCCAGGAGGGTCGTCGTAGTCCAGCCCACACAGGCCTGAGCAGACACAAGCATCGCTCCAGGGCCACAGCACAGAGAAGGAAAGCCGAGGCGTACAACCCCAGGCCTCGCAGGAACATGATCATGTGGCAGAAGGCACGGCCAAACGGCCAGCTGTAGTTGTGAGCGACATAGCCCAACATGATGGGGGTACGCAGGAGCAGCACCAGGTCAGCCAGGGCCAGGTTCAGGACATAAACGCGGAAACTGCTGGCAGCACGTGTCTCCTCATTGCTGCCTCTGCGCACCAGGTGACGATGACCTCGCAGTCCAAGTGCCCAGACCACTAGCCCATTCAAAGGTACGCCCACCTTAAGGACCCAAGAGAACCAGCTGTTAAATAGATTTGGATGACAGGCTTTTTTAAAGCCTGACCTGTGGGGAAATATGCCTGTTTGCTTTTTTTTAGTTAGAGAAGATTAATACCATTCTGTCTGCAAAATAAATATTAAGTTAGGTCGTAGGCTTAACATGTTTGTAGCTTAACTTATCATGAAGAAAAGAGCCAAGGGAAAGGTCTAAAAGTAAAAACATCCACTATTAGCATTTCTAAGGCTCACTAACAAATTATATTTAATGTTTTTAATGAATAATCGGCCAAAGTGAAATAGTCCCTATAAACACGCAACTTATTTAATACAATTCAGGTCTTGTATGGATTAAATAAATGATGTTTAACAAGATCAAAATGCTTTATTGTCATTTCACAATATGCACAGAAGCATACGTATTTTGTTGACTGAGCAGGTTCTGGAGCCATAGAGGATTTCTCACCAGGAAGATTAGCAGAGTAACTGCAATTTGGACTCCCTTGACCGCCTCTGTCTGCCATGGGCTACTGGAGCTGTTGGGGCTGGTTAGAGGCTGGTGCACAGGAAGTTGTGTTCCACTCATATCAGCCATTGAGGCGATGTCAAACTGGAATTGAAACAGCAGGCATTGACTTGATGTCACAGACTTTTACAGTTCATTTTCTGGCTATTTTTCATGTGACATATAATAATTTTGCCATTAACAAAGAAAATGTGTAACTTGCATGAGTGCATATGAAGTATGAAAAAACATACATGCTGATGTAAGTCCGTGGTGTCATGTCAAAACCACACCACGGACTTCCTTTCTATATTTGCTCAGTTTCATTCTTTAGTAATTGTCTGTCTCAACAAAGAAATATCTAGCATGTTTTATGCAAGTGTTGCACTGCATTTTGTTGACTCTCTTCAAACAATGTCAGACAATCACAGAAATACTTGTTTTTATCATGCTAGAGGACAATGCATTGGCTTCATTTATTTGCTGGAGAGTTATTTTGTCCTGAGCTATAACCAAATGCTTACCTGCAAACCCTATACCTGCCCATTTAAAAGATGATAGTTAACCTCCTAAGGACCTGATTTTTGACCTGTAATGGATGTCAATGCCCCACCAAGTGACTGGGTAATCATATTTTTACCCCCACAACATCATTGCTACAAGGATACACACAGTACCTCTGTGAGGTGTTGTAAATGCAGTAATGATGAAAGAGAAAGGAATCTACTGCATTTGTCTGCAGCCTCTGCTGTCCTGGGGCCCTGTGTAAATGTACATCTAGACTGGACCTGTTTGTGTTCAGCTGGAATGAGAAAAGCATGCATGCGCCCACTCCTGGGAACACACCTAGTTTGGTCTCTAGTGTAGCAGCACTAACCTGTGTCAAAGTTACTGATAACAGTTGTGATTCTGTAATTATAAAAGCGAATAATATTCAGATTTCTAAAGTCGACAGTAACCAAAATGTTTACAGTCTGTCTTAAAGCCATTTTGAAAAGCAGCTTCAGTGCAATTTGGTTTTGATTTAAAGAGCTTGTTTCTTACCTCCTCTTATGTCCTTGTTTGTGGGAGAAACAGCAGGAGATAAAGAGAAAGGAGTGCCTGCTGCCTCTAATAAGAACAGTCTCTCTCTCTCTCTCTCTCTCTCTCTCACTCACTCTCTTCACTGTGCATGTGATTGCAACACACACTTCTTCCTATGAACATATCTTCAAATCATCAGAATCATCATATTTTTCAGTCAGCAAAATGACAGTGCCTCTCCAACCAGGTGTTATCAGCTGCTCTGTGTGCATACACATTAACCTCAAAAGCATATTTTTCAAACCAGTATATATTTTATAATCTAGACAGATTTTTTTTTTTTACTATAAGATTTCTCTGTTATGGTATTTTTGCATCAGCAAGAAGCCAAATAAGTATGCTTGCTTCAATGATACACATTCATGTTCTTGAAGTTACTGCTTTATTCCTCTACTATTCTGGACAAAAGTGTGTCCATTTGTAGTGTTTAAACAGTATACATACATGTATGGGAGGTTTTAACACTGGAAAAATATAAAAACTGCTTTAGGTTTCGGTTTTAGCTCTGGGGACACATAATCCACAATAAAGTTACCACGAGCAGAGCGAAATTTCAGAAGCCAAGTGACAGAGCAGATGATTTTGAGCAGATGTCTGTGTCAGTGAAACTGATTTTAAACATTTCACTTTGTGTAATATGGGTCCTGTAAATGGTCTTGTATTGTATAAGTTGTAAGTTTACATTGCTGGTCATAGAAAAGATGTTATTGCAAATTTCTGTTCAGAAGTCGGAGCTGAGGAAGAGAGTTAAATCATTTTCCCATTTGAGTTTTGGTATTGTTATTGTTGGGTCTATATTTGATATGAGTTTATATAGCTTAGATATTATTTTCTTGGAAGATGTACTTTTAATAATTTCTTCAATTAATTGGGAAGGCTGTAGTGGGTTATTGGTTTACACTAATCTTTGATTTAATTTTAGCTGATTGTACTGGAGGAACTATTTTCTGTGAACTCCATACTTCTGGATCAGTGTATTAAATGATATGAACCGGTTATTTTCAAATAGGTGAGTGATTCCTTTGTGTTGCCATGTTGGGAAATAGATAGGGTTATTGTGCAGTTGAAAATCAGGGTTGTGCCAAATCGGAGTGTATCTACATGGTGCAAATGATGATTTAGTGATTTTGTTTACTTTCCACCAGGCTGTCAGAGTTGAGAGGATTGTGGTGTTCTTACAGTAATTCATTTTCTTAGTAGAGTTTGGTAGAAAAGGAAGGTCTGCAACTGAATTATTTGAGTTATTTTTACAGTAATTTTGCTCTAATTCTATCCATGCACTGTTGTAACTGTCCTTCTGAATCCATTTGACTAAATATTGTAGCTGATTTGCCAAGTAGTACTGTTGGAAATTTGGTGCTTCTATGCCACCTAGTGATTTCTTCTTTTGGAGTGTGGAAAAATCAGCTGTAAACAGGGAGTTGATCTGAGGTAGAGTTTTCATTTTGACAGTAGCTATTCGGCCAATGAGTGAGAGAGGAAGATTGGACCAGCGTTTGAAATCATTTTCTATCTTTTTTAGCAGGGGGGTGTAGTTGAGATAAAAAAGTTCTGACAGCCTGGGGGCAGATATTAATACCAAAATATTTAATGTTGCCTGTGCAGAACTGGGGGGAGGAGTCTTGAGCTGCAGAATCCCAGGCATCTTCAGAGAGTGGTACCCTGCTGTAAAGAGAAACTTCATGACCTGATTCCATTTATACTTGTTGCCCTAGGTAATGTGTACAGTGTTCTTGTCCAATGGACAATGGACAACGAACGACTCTCCAAACCCAAATCTGCATAATGTACAGAAGAGAAATGTCCAGTTAACTTTGTCAAATGCTTTCTCTGCATCTAGTGATAAAATTATGGTTTTGGTTTGTTTTTGCTGTGCAAGATTAATCGAATTAAATAATCTGCAGATGCTATCTGAAGCATTCCTGTTTTTAATGAAACCTGTTTGGTCTGGGTAGATTAATACTGGAGTGACTCTTGTAGCGTGTTCTTCATGAAGAATAATCGGAATCAAATATCAATTTTCAAACATTTATTATCATAACTAAACAGACCATCGAATAAAGCAATTTACAGAGCTCTGGGTTCCATCTCTATCTGAAGCCCTAACCTCAACAGCAAAACCTGTTCAATTCGTCTTCAGGACGAGAAAGAACACCTACCCTCCTGAAACCCAGTTACTTATACAATTTGAAATGTGCAATTGTAGGCTGGTCTGGTGGTCTCGGGTTGCTCCATTGGTCCATCTATCCATCCGTCCCCCTTCTGCTTCCTTCCTGCTCCAATGGGAAAAGCAGCTTCCTAAAGAGAGAGAAAATCCTACTCTGTCTAAATTCCTACCCTCACCTCTTTGTTTCCAACTAACTAACTAACTACACTCTATAAAACATGGCTTTCCATTTGACTACTTAAACTATCTTGCCTGTGTGTCTGTATATGGCCCTGTCTTTTAAAGTTGTCTTTTCTCTTCCTGGCCTCAGATCTAATCTCTGTCTCAACTATCCTAGAAACCCCAATAAACTTCAGCTCCCCCGTCCTGAATTTAGAGTATTCAATGTGCAGAACTTTTTAATTAAAAGGTGTCTGCCTTACCTCTCATTTTTCTCTGGCCAGATGTAGTAGGATTATTTCTTCAGACGTCACAGCCAATTCCAATCTCCCTCATCACGCCAGGGTCACCAAAATTGCAGCGTGTTCTTTCATGAAGAATAATCGGCATCAAATATCAATTTTCAAACATTTATTATCATAACTAAACAGACCATCGAATAAAGCAATTTACAGAGCTCTGGGTTCCATCTCTATCTGAAGCCCTAACCTCAACAGCAAAACCTGTTCAATTCGTCTTCAGGACGAGAAAGAACACCTACCCTCCTGAAACCCAGTTACTTATACAATTTGAAATGTGCAATTGTAGGCTGGTCTGGTGGTCTCGGGTTGCTCCATTGGTCCATCTATCCATCCGTCCCCCTTCTGCATCCTTCCTGCTCCAATGGGAAAGGCAGCTTCCTATAGAGAGAGGAAATCCTACTCTGTCTAAAATTCCTACACTCACCTCTTTGTTTCCAACTAACTAACTACACTCTATAAAACATGGCTTTCCATTTGGCTACTAAACTATCTTGCCTGTGTGTCTGTATATGGCCCTGTCTTTTAAAGTTGTCTTTTCTCTTCCTGGCCTCAGATCTAATCTCTGTTTCTTACCCCTAGTGTCCCAGTGACCCCAAATTCCCTGGCCTCTTCAGCCAGGTGGTGATCATAAAACAACTGTGAACCCTCTTTGCTAAAGCTGTAAATCTAATGAGTTCTCAGTGTTTAGTGAATCAGTCTCCCTTGCTGTTAAACAGTCCCCAGTTGGCTAACACAGTAAATACTGACCAGTGATTCAATGCAGACTTAAGGTGATATGTAACTACATAAACATAAACACAACTGTGAGAGTAAAATATATAAACTTATGTATGCTCTAAACTAAATCCTAATTATTCATTTTCTTAATATGATAGAATAATCATATGCACACACAGTAAACAAACAAGTTAACTAATCAACAAACATAGTATCAATCTTCTACTAACTAACTTCTTAATTCAGTCTAATATTAAAACTAATCCTAATGTATTATTTTGTTAACAATTTCACTCAACACTCTCTATTCTAGTAGCTAGGGCTTCGGTAAGGATTTTTAAATCGGAATGAATAAGTGATAAGGGACGGTAACTAGAAGGGTGGATTTCTTTCTGTGGTGACTCTGAGAAACAGTGGTGATAGCATTTGCCAAAAATGTTTATAAAATTCAGCTGGTAGACCATCAGGTCTGGTGATTTGTTATTTGGCATTGAAAACAGTGCTTTATGGAGTTCGTCGATGGTGGGAGGAGCATCTAATCTGTCAGCTTGTTCTATGGGTAATGTTGACAGTTCTAAACTATTTAAGAAGATGTCTATTTCTGATAAATTTGGGTTGTAATTGAGGGAGTAAAGTTTACTGTAAAAGTCTTGGAATATGTTATTAATATCTTGTGGATCATAAACAATTTCACCCCAGGATTAAGTATGGATGGGATTAATGCTTTTCCCTTTTTGTGTTGTAATTGATTTGCCAGATAATTACCTATTTTGTTACTATACTGAAAGTGTTGAAACTGTGCTTTTATATATATTATATTTTCAACTTGCATTTTTAGTTTGCTTAATTCATTTTGTGTTTGTTTGCTAGGGTTTTGAGAATGTAAATTTGTGAGTTGTTTTATCTTTTGTTCTAAGGTGCTTTCCAGTTCTAGTTGTT